AAGGCACACAAAGATTTGAAATGCTGTGAGGCTTTATATTAGCAAATTAATACCAACACTGTCTATGCTTAGTTCCCTGGGACGAATAAGGGTATCAGCAAATTAATTGCCCTTGCTTACCCAAAATCAAACCCTGCCCGGGGGATGTTTTGAAGAATTAGGTAATGGAGTGAAAAATACAACAATTGCTAGATTCCCTAAGAATTTCCAATATAAATGTAATCAATCTCAAGGAAAGTAAATAAAATATGCCCAGTGAACTCAATTGAGCGCTCAAAAGTCGATTATTGCTGTGAAGCTGTTTGACAACTGAAAAATCGTCACTAGTCCATGCCTGATGATACTAACCAGGTGCATCACAGACCCCTCGGAGTATCAGCAAATTTGATGATTGCCTTAGAAAAACTCCAAACCAACTCGTCTCGGGAAATATAAAGAATAGATTATTGGTATATGTTAAATATGCAACGCTTGTTCAAATTCTTCAAGACCATGCTGTGTGGGGGGGGGTTATATCTTACTTCAAGAGTCACGCAGACTAACAGCGTAGCAGCAAATAAATTGCCATAGCTTAATTACGCCAAATCAAACCCGACCTTGGGGATATATAGAATACATTAGGCAGTTGCAATATATATAAAAGTGAAATAAATAGCTGGTAGTTCTCTCAAGTTTTCAGTTCAAAATGTAGATTCTAAGTATGAATATTCTAGTGACTCAAATAATCAACACTGGCAAGCAGATATTACCCTCAAATTATATAAGATAAAGCCAAAAATACCAAGTTGGCGATTGAATCTTAAATCTACATGTAGGTCAATCTGTAAATTTCAAATGAATCAGAAATGCTTCTCACAATAATGTACACGTAGCTCACTCTATGCTTATGAGGGTTTAATTGAAATAAAATGTCTGAAAGTTCAAATCAATCTGCTATATACGTACAGCCACAGTTTGAGTTAAGGCGTGACCAGGCAGATCGAAATCAAAGTCGTAATCAAACAAAATGGTCCTGAATATTCTTTTTGAACCTGATATAATAACCCTCAATGTGGTTTAAATGAATTTATGCTAATGTAAATGAAGCTAAATGAGTGAGAGAAATCAGAAGATTCACCGACAAGGAAAAAGTATAAACAGTTTCTCTGTTTTAGAGTAGAAGTAATCCCATTACCTTACCAACCCGTTCACCTGGGTTAGTGTATCTAATAAGATGATATATATCCAATATGTATGTGTATTACTTCCAAAATGAAGAGAGAAAGTTAATTCCTGTTACTTGCCGGTGATTCAAAGTCCCACTGAAGAACTGATGATTCATGCAAATCTAGCCAAAATTATATAGTCTCAAAATAAAATGTAATCTCTTAGTTTGGCCCCCTATAAACAATCACACATAATAAACATTAAATATTGCTAAAATAAACAATAACATGACCAACATTTGATATAAAGTTGACATAATGTGCCTAGTGTAGGAAATTCTCATATAAACTTTTTAATGAGACTATCAACAAACAAGGAAGTAGTGAAATAAGAAAAATTCTGAACAAACTCCTGAATTATGAAGTATCTACAAAGATAATTGAAGGTAAGAGCAATTTAAACAAAGTGATAATCCTCCAGAATAATCACATAACATTGTATTAAGTATGGGAGGATCATCACACTGCTCCCCCTTTTAAAACAGTTCGACCCCGAACTCTGAAAATATAAAGATACAAATACTCATGTTACTAAAGTCACCATCTACCAATTTGTACTAAAACATGCAAAAGTTTGATAACTTGTATACAATTTATACACAACAATTAGTGTTCATAAGCTGCTAGAGTTCATCATTATTGTTGTTGGCAGTCGTAATCCTTGAGTCCATTCTCCATTATATACGTTGTAGTCATTGGAGTTACAAACATCATATCATATGAAGTATGGGAGGATCATCACAATAGAAGGGCACGTTTACTTAAATATCATCGATTACGGATCTCGTCCGTTATTCAATGAGAAGCAATGAATATATCAAGATAAAACAAAATTTTATCTTCTATGTCTAAGCATCTATAGAACTATAGTTTGCAAAGAATGTTATTAATTCTAAGTATTTTGCAGCCATTATCAATACGGGCGTCTTACTTTACTTGCTTTATTTTCAAACATGATTGATTGTTAAGAACTATATTAAAGTCATCCTCCGAACGCGGGGTTCCAGAGATCATCAACTAAGTCCTTTCCTTCCGCCAAGGAAGAAGGAGGGTTGAGTTCTGGAGGCCTGTGTTCGGAGGATGTATTTAAGTAATCCATACCCGTTTTTTAAACCTCTTATGACTTTCTATGCTAACTCCTTCTATATATGAGCTGTTGAGCAACTGTTCATAAGGATAAGTGTTAATCAGTCTAAAAAATAATGTTAAGTGCACTTTAATATAGTTACTGTCGATGCTTAACCGTTAACAAAAATAAAGATCAATGCCCTTACAAACCTTTTTTATAGTCTTTATCATAATCATTAATAGAAACACCAGTTTCCTCATACAGAAAATGTGTATTTGATTATTTTGGCAGTCATGGATATACACGTACTAACCGAAAAAAACGTTTAACGTAGACCCTTTCAACAGACAAATTCCAAAAGTTTGTGAATACATCATCAGTCATTTTGGCATTTTGTTTGGTAGCGAGATAAATAGGTACATAAAGAGGGGGAAAGCCGAACAAATCGTGGAACCTTCCATGTATGACCAGGCAACCTACCTGAGTTAAAAAGCAATTGTGCCAAACTTTCCCTATTTTTTAATAAACTGAATATTAATTTATCTTAATTCCTATTATATCTCTTCCAGGGTGCCATATACTTTCGGATATGATAAACCCTGAACTTTTAATTGAAAATTAAATTTGAGAAACTATGTGACAGCTAATGAGTGACTTGAATGCAAATAAAGAATAATCTTTCTGAGTACAACAAGTACCAAAATCAGTTATGAATTTTGGTTTCCAATCTGGTCAGTTATCAACTATAGTCAGAGACAAGGTATAATCATACTTTTTCTTAAATGAAATAATTTACCAAGAAACAAGCTAAAATCATTTCGTCCAATATCTTTAGCATGCTCTGATTATAAGATTGGGGCTACAGTTCTTGGAAACAGATTACAAGTGGTCATTAAAAAGTTAGTAAATAGTGATCAAAATGCATACCTTAATGATAGAAGAATACACCTTAACCTGAGATTAATAGATGGTGTCATGAACTATATATATAATGATGACCAAGAAGAGAAGGATTGCAGCTCTGGATTACAGCCGGGCTTTTGATTCAATTTCTAAAAAGTTTTGTATTTAGAGCTTTGGAAAAATTCAATTTTGGGCCAGATTTTCAAAATTGGATAAAAGTTTTTAACAAAAATGCAAAGTCCATGGTTTCTAATAATGGAGTTTTCACAAATTATTTCAATCTAAATCAAGGATTGAGACAAGGTTGCCCTTTGAGTTCTCTGATTTTTACTATATCAACAGAAGTGTTTGCTTGCAAAATAAGTCAAGATAATAACGTCGAAGGCATCAAGATAACCAACACCGAAATCAAATTGACTAGTTATGCAGATGACACAATGATTTTTATCAAAAATATAAAATCCTTGGAAAATATACTGATTAATTCAAATAATTTCTATAAAACTTCTGGACTAAAACTAAATATGATTAAAACAAAAGCAATGTGGCTTGGAAAAAATAAGAATTGATTGGCAAATTGGAAAATCAGCAAAAATTAAAATACTAGGTGCTTATTTCTCTAACCATAAATCAGCACATTTGTGAGATGAAAATTGGAGGGATAAAATAGATAAGATGGAGTGCATTTTGAAATGCTGGGACAGAAGAAAATTATCTTTAAAGTGTGTTTGTTTAAAATTCTCATTTCATCACAAATTTTACACATGTTAATGACATTCAAATGTCCAGATATCTATTTAAAAGAGCTCAATACAAAAATGTACACATTTTTATGGAAAAAATCAGGCTCAGAAAAGATTGAACGAAAAGTGTTAAGGCAATCATACAAAGATGGTGGAATAAATATGGTAGATGCTTTTTTTAATACGCATTGAAAGTGGGTATGAATAGATCAAAATGTGAGAAGATGAACAATAATGTAGAGATAAAAACCCTAACTTCAAAGGATGTAAGGAAAATGATTCTAAAGATAGACCAAGTTGTGTCTATTTGCATTGAAAGGTGGAAACATATTCATCAAGATTTAAATTGGAAAAGAAATTGGCAGTTAATTCAAACTCTCAAAGAGCCACGACTTAAGAGCATTCAATATAAGATTTTACATAATATTTACCCAACTAATACTCACCTTTTCAAATGGAAAATTGAAGGAGTTGCCTCAAAGAATTTTATTGTAATGAGGAAGATTTATATGCCATATGAATCTTCCTCATTACAGATCCTGTTCTGCACACTTTTTCATTTCATGCAAAAGAGTCAAGCTTTTATGGAATGAAATAGAGTACAAATTAAATGCTAGATTTGGGCACAGAATTAGGAGACAAACTCATTTTATTCAAGTATGAATGTAAAACAAAAAAAGGAAGAAGACTACATCAATTATATCATTGTTATTGCTAAGAATTGTATAAGTAAGTACAAATATGGGTATTATCCCAATTTACTGTGCTTGTTTGATCAATAATGTAATATTAGAAATGTATAAAATTATGTAAAATGATTGGAGAAAATAAATCGCAATAAAAAAGTTATTGTTTCTAACAAGGCCATGCTTGAGTGACAATGAGCATCAACATTTGTTATTTTTACTTACATGATTAATAAAAGTAATTAAGATGTAGTTCTGAATATTTTGCAGAACTTATATGTTTTGAAATATGTTACCGTTGGTCTATTAGGTCAGGTCTTGGATTAAGGAGTGGCGTGAGTGTGTGTGTGTGTGTGTGGGGGGGGGTCTTGTTACGAACAGGCTCGGACACCCCCCCCCTACACCCCCTTCGATATCTAATCAAAAATGCGGATCTGTCATTTTTGCTTTCATGAATGATTTCCTCTCAATTTCGAGGTAGATGGCAACATTTGGTGACAACTGGGCATTGTTTTTTTTAAACTTGGGCATTATTTATGGCAGTGACCAGTTCATCTGCAGCTCATGCATATCTTGTTTATCTCTAAATGTTCACAAAATAGTGACCAGTGCATCTGTGACAATTAAAATTCTCATACGAGTATAAAGTTGCATTTCAAAAATACACTAAAATTGGCATATATACACAATGGCACATGTTTTAGTTGGTCAGTTTGTCCCAATCAGGCCAAGCCAATGTTTTCATGCGATCACAGAATGCCACCAGATTCTTGCACTCATTTTCAACCATAATCTTGTGTGGCATTGTCGGTAAAGGAATGTAGACAATCTGGCAGAGGTGAGAAAACAACACACAGTCAACCTGAAATATATAAGAATAAGAATCACCATTAGTTTCAGTAATAACTGTTTTATGTGGGATGCTTCATTTTTGGCAATGAATTTTGAGTCTGGATTTTATTTCATATTCCTTGACTGTGAACACTTGTATCGACAGTTCTTTTAAGTCAGAATATTTGAATAGATTTTATTTGCAAATAATGTCTTATATCAATGTCTATTGTTATGCCTTCAGCGTGACCAAAATGTAATGTATGTACGCATGGGTTTAATTTTGGGTATATTTTTGAAAAAATGAGAGGAATATGTGAAATAATATAATATGATTCATCTATGCAGATGATTAAGATGGCAAAAATAAGCTTTTCATTTAAAATCCGTGGTTATCAGTTCTCATTTTCTAGGAGTATTCCAGGATTTTTCCAAAGGGTGCGTCTACATCAAACAACGAATCAGTAGAGCGCTTGCACTTGAAGCCTAGAATTTCCATCTCTTTAGCCAGAGCACATTTCTTCGAGTCTCTTTCTCCTCAGCGCAATAAAGGAAATCCAAAGGGATTAGCTCAAAAAGGCTTATGGTCGTGTGTTTTATTTATTCTATTCATTATATTCATCGGGGTAGCATCATTCTCTGTGAAGCTTGATCATAAAAACGGTTGCTTATGCAAGTAACTTACCATACTGGCTTTATCTCCAAACATGAACCTTTTTTCTCCAAGATAAACAGAAAGACCTCTTAAGTCGTCTATACCCATTTTATATATCTCTTCTTTTGGCTTTCTACCTACTCCTTGGCTATGGGTCTTTCCGTGCATCTGTAAAATTAGAATAAGTTCAATCTATGCACGACATATATATTTTGCAACTAAGTCATGTTCTACCCACAGAAAGATTGGAAATAAACGGTGAAATGACACGACACTTATTTTTGTCTCAATATTGCAACCAATACCCTTCTTAGGAATGAAACGTAAATTTTGAGCAAGAAAAACAGAAATCGTAGATCTCTTTTCTTGCTTCTATGTTTCAACTTACAGTCATCTGAACAGAGCCCGGATGATATGTTGAACTTATGTCATATTTTGCAAGTTTGTTTTTATTTGCTAGAATTCCTCGCCCCATTCTCAACACGTCCTACCAACGGAAATGGACGACGTGCTTTTGGCGCCAAGCTTGTGACTACCCATTTATTTCAAAGTTTTGATAGACAATGAGCCTTACTTCCACATTGAAATATCACCCATGCTACGCAGAGATGCTTGTAGTACAGCTACGTTTCAATAGATTTTATGAATACGATCTAACACTTCTCAAATCTTCTAGAAAGCACGGCAATTTATTGAAATAAATTGTCATTTTTCGCAAAAATTCATCTCATTTCCGACATCTTGAGTTATATCATCATGTAATAGTGACTAAACTATTAATGAAATCACTACACATCATCTATAGACACTTCAGTTTCCAACATAAATGGAAGAATACAGAGAAATTAAATTTGGTCCAAAAGTGTACGACGTGAATGGCGTGTGCAACGTGCAGGACATTCAACAACTCCATTGAAATATTGTTAACTACTTTTATTGACTACCTTTCCCCATCCTAGCTTGACAAACGACTATCCTCACCCTTCCCTCTTGATAAAGGCCCATGGGCGTTTATTTTGAGTACGCCCAGTTTGAAACGCCCAGTTAATCGTGAGAAACTTCGTCCAAAAATCTATTGAAATTCGAGGAGATTCCAAACATTTTAAGAAATTACTGGTTTAAAGAGATGAAAAAATAGATACGAAGAACCACATCCATCACGCTGCTTATCCAAGTGGTATCCATTATCGGTTGGTTGTGTATAACAAGATTGGATAAGTATTATCTTTATTCTGTCCTTGAGATATTGAAAATATCAAGTTTTACGACAAAAATAGTTTACTTAGTGACCATCGAGACCAACGTCATGTAAAACCTTGAAAGCCATGACGGGAATCACCGTTAGCGGGATCAAAATGCATTTGAGTGCCGTCTGAGATTACTTTGAATGAAGTTATTAATTACCTTGAAAGCAGTCAATACGTAACTTCGATATTGATAGTATTCAAAGTAGTTTAATGACGTTTAAACTCTTCGCTCTACTATACATAACCCAAGATATTCTGTTTTTGTATTGTTTAGTATATTTTTGAAAGTGCCTTATTAACATCTAACAGTCATCCGATAAACCATTCATAAGGAACAGACACATAAAAACAAATAACATGATCATTACTGATAAGCCAAATGGGTTGGTCGTGAACACCAAATGCAATGTATAGTAGAGTGTCTTGACAACTTACTTGGTGACATCCAGAGCGGGCTTTGCAAAATATTCCTCGAGAATCACAATTATTTTCGCACTAAAATCAATGACAATTTCTTGTATAGAATGCTCCTTTAGTTTTCTTGTCCATGGATAATTTTCACCATGACTCAATTAAAACAGAACATATTCATAATTTAACATAAATATAGCAAATCCTTGTAAATATTATCAAATATGTATAATGTATACATGCTTTGTAACTAAGAAGAAGGACATTCTTTGTAACTAAGAATAAGGACATATGTGCAACAGTATAATGGCACACGTCGTGCACACCCTTCACGTCGTACCCTTTTTTAAGGGCAAATGCACAAATACTCTTTACTATAATGATTTAGCAAAGGTAAAGGCTTCATCACATATTAACGAAACCCATCCAACGTCGTTAACTGGCGAATTGGACTTGAGTAAATGTCCTTTTCATTATAAGTATGTACATCGTTTGGGCGTTCGTATGCAGAAATACCCATTCGGTATGATTCGGACGGCTTCAGAAGCATGCGCAAAGTTCGGTTCGCATGTTTCCGTTCCAAATCGCCAGAATTGACAATTTATCCAAGTTCGTAAGGATGTTTTTAGTGAATTCGTTCATATGTGATGAGACCCTAAATAGTATATCCTCACGTATTTTCGCGCAGCATCGATCATGTTTTGGGTTTTCTCTGGATCATCTGGACTTATCCCAAATAATTCAGGAGTATCCATGATATCAGTAGTTAAGAACATTTCAGGGTGGTCAACATAGCGCCAATAAATGTATGTCCTACAAACGAAGATATGGTGAGACTTGAATTTTATGTTATTGCCCCCTTTACCACGGGATGCTTTAAAACCCTTCGACCTGCACCTTCGATTTTAAAAAAATTAAGTTATTCATTTGTACAAAGAATACAATGCAATAATGCATGGGTAAGTGGCTGTGCTTTGAGCATTATCAGCCACGTTCTACAATTACAATATACAATGTAATCAATCAATAATATTGATTAAAATAAATGAAATACAAGAAAATAAAAGTTGTTTTGTGGAGGATTTCAGACATATACACATCGCTCAAAGAAAATGGCATTGTACTTTAAAACAATCGGATTCTCAACTCTACTTAATCTTTTGTCACCATTGAGGATACGGGAACATTTGTCACGTTGTGTCTTATATTTACGGCAGTATTGTATATTTATATTTATTTTAGTTGCTTTTCTAATTCAGTCCAAAATGTTAGTCTCAAGTTACATTGAAAAATCACATGGCTGGTTGTTTCAGTGTTGATACCACATGAGCAGATGGGGGGATTTACATTGGTAAAGTTATGCGAGTAAACGCGACCCTTGAAAATGAAATCACATCGGACTACTGTATAAGTGGTAATTTTGCCTAATCATTTAATTTGCCTATTTCCTAATTTTTGCCTGGTTCGGAAAATTAAATGTCGGAAATATTGTCCTTATAATGTTATCCAATGGGAGTTTTCATCTCATTAGGAAAATTAAAATTAGGAAAATGATGAAATTTGACCATTCGGAAAATTAACCACTCGGATTAAATACCACTTATACAGTATGTTAAATATTATTTCTTGGTTTCTTGAAATGGACTATTCGAATGAGTTAATAACAGTTTCGTTAAAAATTAGTGCTTTTTAAGCTTGATTTAAATATGCTTAAGCTAGATGAATTCTTAATATCAGATGAGAGTAGATTCCATTCTGATATTGTTTTTGAAATTCAAGATCTTTCATAGAATTTGGATGTAACTGGTAAAATATAGTCAAGTTGGTGTCCCAGATCATGTGTTTGATTTCTATTTAGAGGTTCAAATATCTAAGTGACATAAGAAGGCAGCAAGTTGTGAGCTCTATACATACAGATAGCTCTACGATATTGACGTCTATTTGAGAGTGTGGGCCAATTTAAATTATGTAACACTTTTATGGCTGATGTCCCATGCATGGCACCTGAACAAATAATTGCAGCTTTATAGTAAAGGTGGTCTAATAGTTGTAGTTTTGTCAAATTTGCACACCCGTAAAGAATATCACAATAATCAAAGAGTGGCAAAATAAAAGACTTAAAAATTGTTCCAAGGTGTTTCAACTTATTTTCTTACTGAAGACTTTTAACGGATTTATGAGTTTATCTATTCTTGCTGCAATATCAGTAATGTGATAGTCAAAATTGAGATTTTTTCAAAATCAAGCCCATGTGCTTGTGATTGTTTACTCTTGGTAACTTGCCATTACCAAGGAAAATATCTAGGGTCAAACTTTCACGCTTTCTTGGATCAAAATAAGTCAAATCTAAGAGCGCACTTAAGATGGAGCCTTGAGGTACTCTTGGGTTTATATGGTTCATCTCAGATAGTTCAGACTCTTGCCCATCCAGTACAACTTTAACTTGTCTGTTTAACAGGTAAGATTTCATTAATTCTATGATGTTATGACCAAAACCATACATTTTCAGTTTGTTTAATAGTAGCCCATGGGGCATTGAATCAAAGGCAGCTGAAATGTCAAGATATCCCCCTTACATTGGCCCCATTTTCAATTTCATTAGTTATAACATCAATTATACTCAGAAGCTTTGACTGGGTGCTGTGACCTGGCAAGAAGCCACTTTGAATGTTATAAAACAAATTGTTCACAATGAGATGGTCAAAAAGTCTTACGCGTTGAAGATTACGCGTTCTCCAACTTTAGATATACAGCTCAGGAGAGTTATTGGTCTATAATTTTTAACATCTGTTTTGTCTTTAATTTTGAGAATTGCTACAGTGTGGCCTACCTTCCATGGTTGGGGGTATTTATTAAGAATGAACATTTTGTTTAACAATTTTGATAATATAGGTAAAAAGTGATTGTGCTGCCATTTTAAGCATTATATTGCTTAACATTTAAGGGCCAGTAGCTTTATTTGTGTCTAACCGAAGTAAAATGCCATTAACCTCTCTATCATAAGTAGAGAGTAGGTCAAAAGATTGATCAGTTATTGGAATAAAAGTGTAATTTCCTTCTTGATAATTTATATGATAAAATTTATAAACGTAAGTGATACCTATTTCAAATTATATGTTCTTATTTCAGTTATCGATGGCGCATACATTTTAATAATTTAATCAAATCAAATTTAATGGATTTAATGCTCATTTACCGAACCAAAAACGGAACTTTGCGCAGACCCCCCCCCCCCTCATTGCCATTGTGCATATTCTTTAATGGAAGAGGTAGGGAACAATCTCCTGGGACACATCATTTACTACATATATCAATGTGAGTACGAATTTATGAGCCTCAATTCAGAACCCAATAGATCGTAGGTCGAAGGGTTTTTCTAACGTTTTATTTCAAGAATTTCTGAAAATACAATAAGTCGATGGTCGAAGGGTTTTAGAGCATTCCTTTTACCACTGTGTAACTATCTTTAAATCCACATATTTAATAACTTACAAGACAGTGAATTCATTCATCATTTTCTGAAATGCATGGGAGATGACCTTCTCTACTGGGCTTAATTCACTGTCAAGGTCAACATCAAATAGCTCACTGAGATAGCTGAAAAATACCAATTTTAAGTGGCAATACATAATATTAAACCAGTGATTGATTAGAATGGTGAAGAGTGGTAATATACAATAATCAAAGTACTTGGCAATAGGAATGTTAAACTTCACGTTTTAAAGAGAAGGTTTACCTGAACAGGTAAAATCATGGTCCCCTAGCAGCTGAAGTATCAATTCTCCGCGTCGTCGTTTATGATTGCCCGATTAACCGTGCGACCATGAATATATGCCATATCCCGCGTAAGAGGGTTCATAATAAATTACTAGTTCATGTATAAGTTCTCTTTATTTAATTTATCACTTGTTTGAAGACAGTTTTGTCTAACCTCACAGTTATTAGTGGAGTCAATTAAGGCAAAAAACTAGAATTGCACATGCTATACATATATAGCACCATTTTTGACATAAGTATCACTAATACATATATTTTTGATACCTAACGAAGTGGTGTTGAAAAGTGGCCCCATTTGATAATAGCAGGCCTTGGAAATTTCGGACATTTACATTGAGCTCCATGTTAATTTATCAATCTTGAAAAGATCCACTGCAGAACAACTTTAAATAAATAAAGCCCATATTTTCAGGTTGTTACAATAACATGATTATCTTCAAAATAAGAAGGGTTAATTTTTTTCTTTTACCTAGTTCCAAAGATATTTGCATTTGAATTTTTGAAATTCCCCATTGGCTGCCATTATAAACGGCTATCAATACGGCTTTACTAAAGTGTCCTGTGCCTGCTATAATCAAATAGGGCCACTTTTCAACACCACTTCGTTAGATCTCAAAAATATAGTACTATGTATGAGTGATACTTATGTCAAAAAATGGTGCTATATATAGCATGTGCAATTGAACACCTATCTGACTCCACTATATGTATTTAAAACGACGCAGACGTCTTAGGCCTGTATTCCGTAAGATCGTTTTTCTCCTATAATTTTACCAATTATACACGAAGGCCTTTTATATATGTCAGGGTGGTCAAAATATTGATTAAACATTTACACCCCAGTCACATTTGTCGCACGGCGGCCGCAAGTCGACCGCAGAACAATTAAATCGTTGAATTTCTGCGGCGAGCGTAGAAAAACTACGCTCGCCTTGCGGCCTCCGTACGGCGTATGCAGATTTTTACAGGCCGCAGGGAAGGCGTAGAAATTATAACTCGGAGTTATAATATTTGTTCATTTCTGAGGTCCCCGTAGAAATCAACTGGCTCAACAAGATTGAATCATTATTTGTCAATGTTTAACGATCACCTTTCATTTGATATTACATCCTAGCACTTTGAATAACATTTATAAATTGTCCTGATGTAAATAAAATGAAAAAAAACTATTATTTATCAATATAAATTTAAAATTCACCGTGTGGCTGCCGTGGGAAATGTGACTGCAAAAGTATGAGAGCGCAGAAATTCTGCGGCGAGCGTAGAAAAGCTACTGGCCGCAGAAATGATAAACCGCAAGGTCGCCGTAGGAAATGTGACTGGGGTGTTACTATTTCAAGTCTTATATATCTATCGATCTATACCTTTTTAGAAACCTGTTTAAAATATGCCTTGGTAAAGCACCAGATCAATTGCTCTGCTTGCTCTGATCAGATCTGGCGATTTATTTTTGACTTTGATTGTTTTGTCATACGAATAGTTCTACAACAAGCCTTTTTTCGTGATAAACATCTTAATGGAAATTTGCGTGTCTAGAAAAGCTAAAATTATCTGAGTGTTTACCTCATAATCTTTTGTGAGTCATTCACTTGTACTCCATTCACAATGGCGAATGGCAGTTGTCCAGTTTCCTTGTTTTCGGTGAGTTTGTTTGCAAATTCAACCTAATAAAAATACATCAGTGAACGGCTTCAATCTGACGTAATGGTAAGTCACATTGTATCTTATTTCTTCACCCAAACTACAAATTATTTTTTCGAATACAGATATCAGCATTTTTTTTATTTCATTCAATGTTATCTTAAATATATTGTTATAGATTATATTTTATAACTGGTCTCGTCTTGAATGATTTAAGGAACATAGCTATTTTCATTAAAATATTGAAGCACAGACTCAATGCTTTGTGTTTCATTTATCTCATCAGTGTAAACTATGTTTGAATACTTTTGTTGATAAATTCTTTCTTGTGCTTTTTAAGTTATTTCCTTGAATAACACACGTTGTAATAAGTACTTTGATGTTAAGGACTTTGTAAAGAATCCACAAAAGTTTGAAAAGGAGCACGGAAAGTATAGCAACAGATTTTAGACAGTCACATGTTGGATTTTGTCTGAGGATATGTTAGGCAATGCAGTACCTACAGGGAAAATACTCATATGTTAAGATACTTTAGACTTTGAGACAGGGAAGGTGCAAACAACCCACCCACGTGTTTTTCTGAAATGTTGTCCTGATTTTCAACCCCTTCCACCCCTGCCTTTTCAATTTCTTTTGCATCAATATTTTGCGTTTTGAGACACAGTACTAGTGTAAACACATCTTACAATTGAATGTCTTGACATTAACCTTTTTGTACATATATTCCCCTGATATGTTCTGTACAGCTCCTTAAAAACAATTTTGTTTTCACATTAAAACTACCTTAAGACTGATGTCGACTTTTATGGTCAGAAACTGAAATTCAAGGCAAGATCAGGGTGTTTTGGTCTGAATACTGACAAGGAGCGATGAGGCCAAGGTAATTGGTTATGTAATTTATGTGATATGAATGTCAAGGACTCTATCCAGCATCGTATGTTTGTGTGTCATTTTAACAATGAAAGAACTAACTTCTTTCTGAAGGTGATAAACTCCTGTGAGGAACAATTGTCATCTAGCCTTATTTCTGCTAATATTTAAGGAATAAAGACTTTTAAAGAGATTTTATGAGAAGAGATTGAGGTCTTTGGCAATGGCCAGAATAAAATTTGAGGTCATATATTTGTCATAAATCATAAAATCGAGGTCTTTGTTACGATTCTAATATGGTAAACAGACAAGAAAAACATATACATGTATTTGCATTTATGAATTTTGGTGGTCATACATACTCCAATATAGACCAGTAAATAAATTGTTCTCGTATTGTGACGTCACGTATCATATTAGAATCCATAATATTATTAAAATATGCTTGACCATGGGTGATAAAGCTAGTGTGTAAAGAAATATCTGAAAGCAATTTATATTCCCTGTAATAAGGTTTGATGTAATTTTAGTGACATTCTTATGTATTTTAATTTTGACTGCAATTGTATAAGCATGTTTGTATGTGGATGCACCATATTTTCAATGTGTGTGCCACTGTTTTAAAAGTGATTCAAATAAATAAATATAAAAAATAGTCCAGTTATATTTCTACGTTAATGAATATCTAATAGCGATATTTGTTTGAAGTTTAACATAAAAATGAGACTCATCTGGAAGCCAATGTTATCAGCAAATCTGAAAGATGGACAGCATCGGAATTGTCAGGTCTTTGAATCTCCGGCCAAGATGCACCACAAATGTTTAGATAATGGTGGGAGGCAAATGACCAAATAATGTTAAAGAAGTACTAATCCTTAGTCTGTATGATACATAATTTAATGTTAAATAGGAACATATGATTGAGTGTACAGATGGTATGAGCAGGAAAGAGAATTATAAAACACAATAGTGGCGTTGCTCCACATACCCCCGACTCCTGTTACCATAAAATACATAACTTTTTCATTTTGAAACAATATATTATGACAGTTGCAGGATATATTGTTATTATGCCATTCTACAATCTGTAGCAATTTCATCTAAAACAGGTAAATCTATTGAAATTAGAGCATTTGCATCTTTACTTTCCGGACACCCTGTATGCATGCAGTAAAACATGGTCTTACTAATGTAAATATATTTATTTTGTAAATAATTGTTTGTAAATAACTGCTTGTATAATTATTTTTTAAAAAAGCCCTTCTTCGAGAAGGAAATAAAGATAAACAAACAAACAAACAAACAAACAAACAAACAAACAAACAACGTATGAATGTCCGAAATCTGTTGCGATCCTTTCCGTCCACTTACTTCATATTGTATTTTCGCCAGTCTCATAAATGTTTCCAATGCCAGAGAAAATGGTGATACGTTTGGGATAAATTTGAACCTTTTAATAGTTACAATCTTCACACTTGCCTCCTTGGTTTCCGACATTGCTGAAAATAATTTGTTTATATGAAATTTCTAGGACCTCTAATTAAGGAGCTGATAACTTACCATATTTGACCAAATATTTTCGTATCTAGAAGTCCATTTCACTGCTTCATTTCGTCAGTAGAACGGCAAAAATAAGAAATTGGGAGACCAATAATATATGGAAAAGTTTATTCATAATGTACATGAATGACATTTGTATATCTTGGATTGCTTCTAGTTTGGCTTATAAAGTGTGTGGCCTCCTATATTTGGATGTTTCTCTGCCGTGTTATTTTCAATAAGATTAACATGGCTAAAATTCTTCAAATTACAAGACGGCATAGGCTTATTGCACAAAAAACTAAAAAATCTGAAATATACAAATGGCATTCATGTACATTATGAATATACTTTTCCATATATTATTGCACAATGGTCTCCCAATTTCTTATTTTTGCCGTTTTACTGACGAAATGAAGCAGTGAAATGGACTCTACCAGCTTACGTCACTTTTTTTTATCCTGACTGACCAATATGTACTTCTTGCTTAATGACCAGATTTTGTCTTTAATTAGCAAATTTTTACATTTTGAAATTTAGAAGACTATGAGAAATCAAATCAAATGTTTTATTGTGACTTGGGGGTGTACAATTTTGATATTTTGTAATAAATTGTTGTTTTTCACACTGTGAAATATGTCGAAATATGTGGATGGAGTCATATTCATGTAATGTGTCGAAAGTACCCGCCTCTGTACTTTTCAATGGAACATATTTGCACTTTTGTTTAAACGATCTATATTTACTCATCCGTGGATATCATACTTCATTGATTTACCAAACCAGAGCAATTTGATTATGATGTATCGTGTGAATCAGTGGATTTTATTATTGGATTCAATTCAATCAGACTGACTAGGTTGTAATTGAATTATTTTGAATTTGTTTATTTTTAATATTTTACATATATTTCTTAAACGCTTTCACCAGATACAATAGGATGAAATAGCTATGGTTACATATAAACTTTAGTAGAAACAAGAGATTCAAGATTCAAGATTTTATTGTGTTTCAAACCAAACACTTGGTTTCCTCACAAAATCAATTACAAGACATTTACATATAATTATACAGTTAAAAAAAACAACATGCATTGTTTCACAAATACCATCATACAATCTTTCCTTTTTCAAATAGCTCCCGACGCTGATTAAAAAGTTTATTTATAAAATGTATCAATTCGTTAACAATTTCAAAATCATCAGAAGTCATCAAAAAGTTATATTTTTCTTTATCCGACATATTATCAAATGTGTCAATAAAACTTAGTTTATTAAAAAAATCAAATCTACATTTTTTATAGCCATCACACACAAGAAGAAAATGCTTTTCATCCTCTACTTCCCCCTTATTGCAAATCTGACAAATTCTTTCATTTATTTCAAGTCGATGCTGTTTAGTGCCATCTTTTTTCTTTTTCTCGTGTCTCCCTGTTTCAATTCTTAAATTATGGTTTGCTAATCTAAACCTGGCCATTTTAAAAATTAACATTTTGTTCACGCTTAATGTTAAATATCTTTCCAGATTGTAATCAATTTTCATATAATTTCCAAGTTTTCTATTTTCCCTTATAGCTCTATCATTAAGTTCTATATATTTTATTTGCATTTCAAGTTTAATTGCTTTTAGTAATCGTTTTATTCCAAACGTACTCCCATTTTCAAAGACATGTTGAAAATGAAAGTACTTTAATATGCATTCCATATGTTTGACATATATGTTATTTTTATCCCGAAATGATATATTTATTAAGCTATCCGCGTTTGTTTGATGCACACATTTCAACCAATATTTTATGGAATATATAAGTGAGTCTATAGCTAATGGAAATCTTCCTAAATCTTTTTTAACGGCATAACTTGAAGTATATTTGTTAACCCCTAAAAGGAATTTGCAAAATTTATTGTGTATTTTTTCAGGAATAAAGTCTTCATAAGAACTCTCTAGTTTAAGGTCCCCTTGACTAATCCTCCTGTCAACTTTCAAGTGAAGCATTGACCAAAATTCACTTCCGTATAATAATATAGGCTTAACACACATGTCAAAGATTTTTGTGTGCAATTCTACATTGATAGTTGAAAACTTAAAATTTTGTCTCATCATAAAAATAACTTTCATCGCCTTCTTACTTAATTCTGATATGCCATGTTTCAAACTCCCAGAGCTTTTTAAAACAAATCCCAAATATTTATATTCATTTACTATATTTTGTATTATTAACAATAATACAACAAAAATGAACTTTTACAGTAGTATATGATGCGCATTTGAAGCCTGGTGATAAAGTCATGTGTGATATCAGGAAAATCTACATTACTGTATATGTTTACTAGATCTAATAGGCATTTCACTTTAAAATATCATAGTATATATCTTTAAGAGTAGATGATGGACAAGAAAGTAAATGTTAACTAGATCGAATATGGATTTCACTTAAATATGTAAACTATGTCCCGATCTCATGTACATTTACGTTGCAAACAGTGAAAATAATGCTAAAACGGCCGCCTGTTGATGCTTTGAGGTGTCATCAATTGTTATTTAATCCAAATAAAGTAAACATTATTTTGTAGATTTAGACACGGGCTTTCAGGTCGTATATGCATTTTAGTCATTAAATGAACAAGAACGCTAGATTATACGTGTTAATATGGTATCAAATTGAAATAAAATAACGAAATTAAATATGAACACTTAAATGATAAATGACTTTCCGCTATCAGTATTAATGACTATCCGCTACTCAGAATAATTAAAATTGTCTGAACTACATGTGAAGAATCTTTCTATATAACCCCTTGAATGGTCTAATTCACTACCGTCCTCAAAAACCGATCATTTAAAATATTTTGTTCAAAATACTATCATGCCACGACTTGAGAGCATTTTGTTCTTCACGATTTGCTGTAGCGCTGATATGACGTCGTATTTCTCTATTTTTGTAAAAAAATCGTCGATGGGACAAATTATGTCACGCACATATTAAACAATAACTAAAGATCTATGAAGGGATGATAGTCATGTGATATATCATTGGAATCTTGAGTTTATGAGCATTTTTATGATAATATAATATCATATATTTTCAAAGTTTATATTCATTCCTTTCTTCCCTGGATTCAGCCTACTAAAATTCAAAGGAAGAAAAATCGAGATGGGACAATTCTCTGTCACGCACGTTTAAAGGAAAATCTCATACTTAGCTTAATCTAAAGATGTTAAACGTGATGAATCATAAAATATGGGCTATGAGCATTCTCTACATACCAAATATGTTATCATTTGTTTTCCTGATATCATTTTAGACTGCTATTAACACCCTAATCAATTTTTACAACGTCAAAATATTTTGGAACAAAAGAATGCTGAATTTGACCAAGTCATATTACCTGGTCCAAATACATGCAAAGCAATGCAACTGAACTTAAAATTATAGTATATGTAGTACAAGGGCAATGCTTTTATGACATTATAAAATATCTAGTTGAATGTCACTAGAAAAACATAATTTCGTGTATTTAAATGACGAGAGTCTTTGAAACCCGCCATATTTCTATCAATTTTTTTCTTGGTACAAAACAGACACAAGTCGCAAAATGCTTGCTATGTAAACAAATTAAATACAAAACATATATTTTTAACGTTAAGTTCTAGTTGAACATATATAGAATAAGTATTAATGACATCTTTTTCATAGGTTTGATTTTTAAATAAGATAATAAGGGCCTAAGGTCCTTACCAACATTTATTTTTCGAGTTTTACACATTTTTACTATTTCTTGGGCATCCAAGATGGCGGATATGCATTGATGACGTCACAAGATCACGTGACGTCATAAACGCCCATCAGCAATTTTTGTCCCATACCAAATTTGAACTAAATTGGTTAAGGAATAAAAAAGTTATGACCAAATTACCATATTTCAAAATTATCAAATGCAACGTTTTACATGGTAAAAATGTGCACTTTAAAACTCAATAGAGTCTTTTAAGCGTCCCTTATCTAAAAAGTAGGAAATAAAAATTAAATATTAGTATACCATATAATTTTCATTTCAATTACCTATGTTTTGATATCTAACAGGTTATATATTATGCTAAAACCATTGTTCAAGAGTCGTCCGAAAATAGATGTACCATTACGTGTTAGTAATTCTGTAAATGTACATGAGATCGGGACATAGTATGATGTCATAGTGTATATTTTTAAGTGTAGATGATGGACAAGAAAATAAAGTGGTGGTTTCTAGATCGGCCAGAATTCCGACAAGATTATTCAAAATTATCATTAATAAGATTAGCATACATGTCAGTTTGTATTAAAGCAATTCTTAATAGACTGTCGTATTATAACACAGAATGTTTAAATAAGAACTACTATACCCATGGCCTTCTCCACCGATGTGGTACAGCAATATTTTTTATCGAAGCCTGTGTTGACCCAGACCATTTTTTATTAACATAAGAATTAAAAGTAAAAATGAATGAAGTTTTACTTTAAAAACTTCCCATGCAACAGAAAGCCCATGAACCAAAAATATTCAGTTTCCTTTCTGCATCTCACTTGTTGAGAACATTGAGCGGTGAAATAAACCACAGTGTCCAAAAACAATAACAATGCTATATTGGTGATTGGATAGATTACATTTACCACTATTTTAAAAATAACTGTAAATCGATATTAGTATTCTTGTATTTGAATCATTTGTTTTCAGGAATATGTAGGCTCGCTCAGCTGAGCTTACAAAATCATCGAGATTTACGGATGGTCCATCTGTCGATTGCTCATCGTCACTGTCAAGGGATGTTAATTGCTCCTGAACTTGGTGTTTTTGGTAAAACAGTGGATTGATGAGTCTTTGGCCCTGAATTCACTTGATTGTTGTAAATGATTTCAATATTTTATATTATAACTGTCGTATTATAACACAGAATGTTTAAATAAGAACTACTATACCCATGGCCTTCTCCACCGATGTGGTACAGCAATATTTTTTATCGAAGCCTGTGTTGACCCAGACCATTTTTTATTAACATAAGAATTAAAAGTAAAAATGAATGAAGTTTTACTTTAAAAACTTCCCATGCAACAGAAAGCCCATGAACCAAAAATATTCAGTTTCCTTTCTGCATCTCACTTGTTGAGAACATTGAGCGGTGAAATAAACCACAGTGTCCAAAAACAATAACAATGCTATATTGGTGATTGGATAGATTACATTTACCACTATTTTAAAAATAACTGTAAATCGATATTAGTATTCTTGTATTTGAATCATTTGTTTTCAGGAATATGTAGGCTCGCTCAGCTGAGCTTACAAAATCATCGAGATTTACGGATGGTCCATCTGTCGATTGCTCATCGTCACTGTCAAGGGATGTTAATTGCTCCTGAACTTGGTGTTTTTGGTAAAACAGTGGATTGATGAGTCTTTGGCCCTGAATTCACTTGATTGTTGTAAATGATTTCAATATTTTCATCGTCATCATTACATGATATGGAGCATTTTTCAAGTTCACAGTATGAGAGATGACACCATAGTTTTTCTCTTCTGTAATAGCATTTTCTGGTTGATGGATTTATAATTAGTCTATCAATTCTCAATTCTTCATAAGGGTGTGTAATGGTGTGATCAATTGCTTCACTGAATGAGGAATGTTTATCCAAGCAATGGATTCACAACAAATCTGCCCAGATGTTCTTCTTTAAATAAATCATCATGATAAAAGTATAATTTATTTATGATAGCATCCATTTGTTACCGTTCTGAATCCAAATGATACATATTTGCATTTGTTTTGTTTACGGTTACGAAATGTTGTTCAAATATCTTCTTTATTACAGGAATGTAGGAGCTGAAACTTTCCTATATTGCCATACGATTCATATTGAATATGTATGCAACATTTCAAGACTCAATGTCAAGTAGGAATACTTAAATCACTAACCTCGATTTGCTGTTATATGTTTGCAATGACCGCATTCCCTATAATGTACGCGAGCACCTACGATACATTACATGTACATGACCGCATACACTGACATATTTCGACTAGTCACAGTGTTTCAAAAGAAAATGTTGGTCCCAGAAATGCTATATTTCCTTGAATATGAAAGGGATATTTAAGTAGATTATATTAATTAAAAGTAAAATATAATAAAAAATATAATAAAAATCAAGATCAAAGCACATGTTTAAGAAAAACTGAGCGTTTGTGAACGAATAGTTCACGAGACGCAGGCATTGATAAATAATTCCTCATTTTTGTTACGTAAACGGCTAACGTCTGCACTTTCAACCTCAAAGATGCAAAGATGTTCCAGGCGGTTTTGTTTTTTCCAGAAAATCCTGTTGTAAGAAAGATTGTGCTTAGGATCCTGTATATATTTAAAATAACTGTAAAATTTAGGTGAATCTCCCATCAAGATATAAGGAGCAGTTGGAGATGAATTTACATGAAATAATCTAATTGTAAAACTTACCAAAACGATGATGTCTTAATAATATGCGAAATCCAATGTTTCACTTCGAAATATGAAGTTAAAATACGGGAGACTGAAATCAAGTCGTATCGTTAAAAAACACCAAACTGTTAATGATAAATGAGCCTGTTGCACAAAGTCTATGTCTGGGATTAAAGTACAAGGTTATTATTTACAGTACACTGTACTTTCTAATCAATAAATAATGAAGGTCATTCATGAACAATGGCTTTGTATAAAAAACCTCCTACCTCATACCCACCTACCCACGTACGTTGGACATGATTCAGTCTTTGAAGGGTTCAATTTTAAAGATCGGGCATTCGCCCTCGGGTCATTACACATTACAATGCACCCACCTGCACATGCCTTTATTTATGGATATGTCATCCGTTTAGTCATAAATTAGAGCCGGAATTGTAGAAATGTTAATAATTAGAGCTATTTTGAGATTTGAAAATCTTTAAAATTGAACCCTTCAATGACTGTATCATGTCCCAGGTAGGTGGGTAGGTGGGTATGAGGTAGGACGTTTTTTATACAAAGCCATGAAAAATGATAAATATCTAGGTCTTCAAACCAGAGCAACCAATGAGAGTTTGCAAGGGCATCCGGCAGAAAATTGAACCTCAAAGTGTTACCTTTCAAAAAAGTATGGATGCCATAAATTAATCGATTTAAGAGACCGATAAGTTGAGTAATTTTTTGGAAACGATAGAAAGGCATGGGATTCTGACTACTTATCCAGGGTAAAAAAGTTAGTGCACTTATGTATTTTAGTATTGTTTTGCTTCATCTGGAATATTTTGTCTGGGTCATCTTGCAACAAGTTCAGATTGTGTGTCCGTAATCTGAGGTATACGTTTTAAATCGTAAAGTACCCCTATTTTATTGAGGTATTTATATTAGAGTAGCGTACAGGGCTTTCAATAAGTATTGCAAAGGAAATGTATCGATATGGAGAACTGAATTTAACAATATTTTTCTCTTTAACCCATCATTGAAAACATTCTGTAAAAAAACATGGTATTTTATGTAATGTTGACTGATTGACAACAATTTAATGCGAAAATTATTTAGAAATATTTTATGTAACTGTTTTGTTAACATTTTTTGTTTTTTTAGTGCAATTGTTTTTGCTCCTTTCTACCAATTCTTGAGAATGAAATAAAATGTCTTTCCGAACCTTGTTGGAACAAAATAGCATATACAACATGTTTTTAGACCTCTCAATATTAAAGTTATACAAATGAATTTTTGGTTGATTTAAAAAAGTATTCAAAAAATTAAAACAAAATCCCCCCAAAATAGATAAAAATCAAGAAAAAACTTTTATTTCATTAACAAGATACTTTTTTAAAATCAACCAAAATTTCCTTTGTACAATTACAATATTGAGAGACTTAAACATGTTGTGTTTATGTCGTTTTGTTCCAATGAGGTTCGGAAAGATGTTTCATTTCACTCTGGAAACATGATACCAAGAACAAAACAAGTGTTTGATGGGTTTTTTAAAACAATATAGATGAAAGTAAAACTGATAAATACAAAGCTTCATGATTTTTTGTAAAATGTCAACTCAAGAGCACTCAGATTCAAAATACAATTGTATATATATATTTATATATGAAAATTGAACCACTAAAACAGATGTAATTTAAGTTAAAAGGAACTTTCTACTATACCCGCCATGCTATCTGACCCAAGCGAGCCACCTGGTGGGGAAACTGATAACTACCTACTCGCATTTGCGTTATTTGGCGGCTAAATTAGATGACGGTAGAGATGTGTGATCCAAAAGGCCTAGACAACGCGAAGTCTTAATTAAACAAATCAAGAGATAACGAAATTCGAAACAGGGTTTTCAATCTTCTTGAACTCACTTAGTATCGGCTGAATATAAGACATGAAGGACAAGCCCATGTCGATTCAACATATCTGATTTGATCATGTATCCAATAGTGAACGAATTTTAACAGCTTCGGAAGTTTCAACAGAACTTGATAGTCTTACCTATAAAGCTTGCGAGACTGGTTAAAAGTATCAAAACTTTTTAACATAACTCCATCTTCATTCCGTATTAAATCAAATAAGACTGTTCCAATACGTGTCAATACGTCCCAAACCAAAATAGCTACTGTATATAAGCAGTGTAAACAACTCAATCGACGAGTGCAATTAAAACATTTCTTTGACGTTCATATCAACGAATCTGTGTTTTGAATCGATCTTCTTTTTTATTTTCCCGGCGTATTTTGTACAAGCCCAAAAATGAGGAGTTATAAATTGCAAATTAGGGAGGCTGTTTTAAAAAATGGCGTGATCATGGAAGAATGTGGAGAAATTTCCAGAAACGTCGGGAATATGGACAATGACATACAAGACCATGCTGTGGTGGGGCATTGTATGGATTATATTGAACAAGAGATATTTTTAAAAAATGAATGTATAAACCCAACTTGGCAGATGTCCCATTGTTTGATTGTGTCACTCTATAAACTCATTGGATTAATATTTTGGACATATAAATAGTCATATTTCAATAGTCATTGAGTAGGGATTAGTTATGTTTGCAATTGTGTTGACCTACTTATTTTTAGAGAGATAATTCTAGGTTATTCTCAATATACTTGAGAATATAGAATTGAGAATGAAAGTCATAGACTGACAGAATTTCCGAATTTAATCATCATAAATCTGTAAGTTTGAAATGGAAATCCTATTTAGGATTAAGCCAAATGTGACTGATTTGAAATAGTCAAAATATTTTAAAACAAAGACTGAATTAATCTGGGAGCTCGAGAATTATTCTTTTTTTATTAATTATTTCCTAATGCAAGATACAAGTATACAAATAACATAATACAATACTAGCAACAGCAACAGGTTGTGTAACACTTGCATTTTTCTAATCAATATTTCCAAGTTAAATAAAAACTCCAAATTTGGATGGTTTCCCTTTTTTATTTGCTTATAACATTATGTGCCACTGGAATAACTACATTAATTTTTTGATCCTTTGTCCCTATCAATTTTTCTGTTGGACTAAGATCAATATTTTTGTTAGATTTATCTTGACAATATTTTTTCACCAATTCCCAAACCTGTTTAATATGTGGACACTCAACAAAGAAATGCTTGTATGTGTCTCTTAATTTACATTTTTCACATTCATTATCATCTTTCTTTTTCATCTTATACAGTAGTTCATTTGTTGGGTATACTTTATAAATAATCTTATAATAAAGGGACCTAAGTCTTGGCTCCTTCAGACATTGAACTGTTCTAAATAACAATTTCATATCTATGTCACCCTCTTCCCTAATTTTTCAGGAATATTAGGTAGTTCTGTTTGATTTTTGATTATTGTATTTTTATAGTCTTTTAATTTTGCTGTTGCTATAACAATATTATTATACATATTTTCATTGCTTTTGTGAACAATGATTTTATTATACAATAAAGATTTTAACAAATTATATTGCATTCTTAATTCTGGTCTTGGGCCTATGACATTTAAAAGGACAAGGTGCAATTATTGGCAAATATCCCTATGGTCAAAATGAATCATTCGTAGGTGTAACATGAAGAATAAAATGTCATATAATACTTTGGAAAATATTAAAGTGCTCGGACACACATAAGCTGAGATAGGGATCATTTCGTTCAGTAAGGTTGTATTGACTTACATGGGGCTGTGCACCATTGACTTAACATGAGGATATCAGCAGATCCCAATAGAGGCCATTGGTTTCCATTGGTTATCACAGAAATACCAAAAATACACTATGACCTGAATCGATTGCAAACTTAATAATTTCACAATACGACACAAATGGTTTATCTCATCAAATGTGCAAATATGAAGTTTGCAATCTATTCAGGTCATACTTAAAATTAAAAGATTGTACATTTTTTCATCATTTTTTCCCTACAAAATGGCTATAGAAAAATGCTCCAAAAACAACTTTTACACTTATCGAATATCATACAAGTTTGTAAAACTAAAGATTATACTATTATATTTCATTATGTAGTAACATATTTGGATAAGATGCAGGGATGCGTAGGATGTAAATGGATTTTGACAGACACAAAAATACTTCCTGGTTTGGAATCTATGCCTCTACACTTCATGATTGAATTATGACCCTAATAAGTGGCCTATACATCAATACAGTGCTGAATGTAGGTCAACAAGATACTAGTGTGCATATAATTGTAATAATTGAAGCAGAATACTCATCTTGAAAAATCAGATGAATTATTTTTTTCCCATGGGGAGATCCCAATGGAGGGTGTATAAGGTCCTTTCATCAAACTCCTTTATTTTATCATTTTCATCAATAATATGTCTAAGTTTCTTTATACCCCTTTTAACCCATTCTTCAAAATATATAACCTTTCTACCATATCTCAAACTGTTGTTATTCCATAATATATCATCATTGTTTAATTCATTATGTAAATCTTTATTGTCTAACCATTGTTTAACAAGTTCAACATAAAATGATGGCATTTCATCCTGTTTTAATTTTGGTTTCAACTCTGCATATTTTATATTGTAATCAAATATATCTACATGTCCCATTCTTTTTATAAAGTAAAGGAACATATGCTTCCAGCTTGACTCATAATTTTTTACATTTTTTATACGTGATACCCAGACCAATAGTGCAGCACTTTGCACGGAAAAAATGTCAACCATATTTAACCCACCATTTTCAATGCTTTGTCTTAGTATTTTTCTTTTGATCCACGATAATGCGGTTTTAAATTCCAGATGAATTTGTATAAAACATTATTAATCTCTTTCAAGACCGAGAGGGAGAATTATTCTGATATCACCCCGAATAATATACATTCTTATTGAGTTAATACTAATCTGATACATTTGATGATCTTTGCTTTAATAATCAAAGTATTAGATATTTTGAACATGTTTATCTTTATCCTAATCGATCAACAAAAATTAACTAAAACTTACTAAACTAACTACAAAAATTAATTACAAAATACAAAAATATTAAGTAAATACAGCATGACAAAATGTAAAATGTGACAGTTTGAAATACAGCATGAAAA